TGTTGTTGGAAAGGGGGTAGGGGTATTTTCAGGGATGGATAGGGAGTGGAAACAACGAATCTCAGAACTTCATAAATGCACACACTGGTGACCTCTTCTATCGGCGACCTGTATATATAGCGGTGACCTATGACCTGTACTCACGTGCTTTGGGGTTTGTCCGGATGTCCGACATCTCAATCTCCACGGGCGAGGCGCCATTGTTGTTCTCCCTGTCCACCCGCACGGCCACAGGCTTGCCCTCCTTGCCCTCCTCGTCCCCTGCGCCCTGCCCGGCCACCGACACCGACACCGACACAGAGTCCGGGCCAGGGGCGACCTCTGGGGGCGGGCTCACGGGACTCTCAACCTTCTTCACATTGAACCGCCGCCCCGCCGAGCCAGGTTCCGGGACCGCCGCGCTCTGGCCGGAAGTGACGCCGACATCCTCCTGGGCCGGGTTGAGCGGCTCCAGAACCTCCCGCTCCTCCGCCAGCTTGCTATCCATGACGAGAGTAATCTGACAAAGGAACTCTTGGTCTCTGTATCTTTCTCCTCACTTTCTCTGTCTCTGTATCTTTCTTCTTACTCTCTCTGTCTCTGCCTCTAACCCCTCACTTTCTCCGCACTCTTTACGTCTGCGTCTCCTCTACACTCGCTGACACCAGCACTATCTCACCCACAAGTTACGCCAACAACAACCACCACCACCACCAGGATGATGATGACGGCGACGATGAGTAACTTACTCCTAAAGGCGCGCACCACGCACCACGCACCACGCACCACGCACCACGCACCACGCACCACGCACCACGCAAGCGCTGACTTCGGAACGCTCGTACGAAAGAACGAACGAGCGAACGAGTGTGCGGAGGGAGGGGAAAAAACGTCTGAGTCAAACTGGAAAAATTATTACGGCGTCCAGCTGTGGTCCTACACGTAGAATATTGTGGCAACACCTCGTGGAACAGTTACGGTCCAGCAGAAAACTGTCCCGACAAGTCACATTAGAAACCGTTACGGTCCAACACAAAACTGTCACAGCGGAACAAGAAACAGTCACAGGCCCAACCTTTGATCCTACACGTGAACAGAAATAAAAATTATCCCGGTAAGCACAGAGTTGAACACAGGCACGCAATCACAGATCACAACAACCCTGACAGTAATTAAAACTCACAAGCAAATACTAAGACGCGCACAAGTTTGTGGGTTTTCAGGGGGGTGGTCTGTATTCTTAGGAAACCCGGTACATGAAACGGAAATTCCCTCTAATACACAACAGAACTATCGGGTACTCCAGAACGGATACTAGTAATCATTAATTTATCGAAATTGAGAAAGTCACGTGATCCATTCTATGACGCACGGAACAAAGTACGGCGCGCACATCATTGGACAATGGGTTGGGGGACGCGGGGAGCGATGTAGCAACAGTGTTGACGGGATCAGCTGTGTGGCACAGGAGGGAACGCCCAGTTAGTTCACGGACAAGATCACCATCACACACATACGCACAGACACATACATACAAATATACATACATAAACACATATACACACACACCCACACAAACACACACACAAACACACACACAAACACACAATAAATACACACATACACACATATAGATACATACACATACTTACATACATATATACATACACACACACACACACACACACACACACACACACACACACACACACACACATCTCCACCTATAGTACGTGTTGTAGTAAGATCCTCCCCCAACAGTGACTGTCCCGTTCAGCTATTCGATTAGCAAACGGCGTAAAATCTAGTGGCAAAACAAACCGTCAGAGAGTGTGTCCCAAATCTTGCCCGCCGACCCCAAAGACAACACCACGGTACCGGGCTCGCTCTCTGCCCGGGACTTCTACGCTCGCTTTGTCAACTCCCAGTTTTCTTTTCCCACACCAGTTAGTTCCTGCAAGTACTATACTTGGCGTCAAAAAAAAACCCAGACACCCCTTTTTTAGTGTTTTTTGTATTGAAAGACTGATTTTAACCAGAAACAATCTCTTTATAAGGAAAGTTTGAACATTTTACAAATCAATTACACTTAAAACAATTTTTAAAAATGAACCTTATTTCCTGAAATTTGATCTTTTAATTGTAGGCCCTAAAATGAAAAGTCACAGTTAATACCGCGTATAGCCGCCGTGGG